AGCTGGTTCACGAGACTATCCAGGCCCACCAGAAGGTCTATCACACAGGGTCGGGATGCCTGCTGTTTCTCGCAGGAGCGTGGAGTCGTGCTGCTCTGGAGTGCCTTCAGAGAGGGATTCCAGTCACTCACATCATCTCTGCTTTGTCTGAAGGGATGGATATATGCGTCGATGTTTGCAGGAAAAGCAGCGTCTCCACTGAGGGTCTCGATGTTGAGCCATCTGAGAGCTTCAATGCGAAATCACATGATTTAGGATTTCAACTGTCAAAGAAACCCAATGTGGAGGCTTCCCAAGCATCACACAACCTGCAAGAGACATCAACAGTTGGTCTTAAGACTCTAAATGGCAGTAGACAAAGAAAAATAAAACTCAGCAGACATTTTTACGAGGCCAGATCAGAAAATGTCTCAACAGTAACGCAACCTGATCAGCCTAAACTCCCTGACATTGCACACATCGCAAAGGGATTGAGTCATGGTTGTGTCGATGCAATGAATTTAGTAGTAGAAGCTAGCCAAGTGCAGTCAAAAAATCATCCAGAAAACATCAGCTGTTCCACATTTGATGTTACTAAAGTGATGACTTGTGTGCTTCCTGGTTTACCAGAGGAGCATGCATGTGTTGTACCAGGCTGCATCGTTCTTGTATCTGATGAACAGGCTTCAGTTGCACATCACTTAAAAGAACAGTCCTTAAGAGTTGCTCTAATTAATGGAGATTTATCAGACACCTATCGCCATCTTGGCTTTAAAAAGCTAACAGGTGTACAGTGCGTGAGCGACCAGTCCGACTTTACAAGTTCAAGCAAAGGCAAAGAGTGGATGGAAAAGATCGTGGCACTTCTGTTGAACCTGGGAGTGAACCTGATACTTGTCAGCGGGCTGGTTCGTGAGGAAGTGATTCAGCGCTGTTGTGGACACCATATTCTTGCGGTGGAAAAAGTGAAGGCTTCCGTTTTGAGAGCCTTTGCTAAAGCAACGAGAGCTGTTCCGGTGACATATGCCACACAGTTGAGTAGGCACTGTGTCGGTGTTGGTGTTAAGGCTGAAATATGGAGGGACCTCAGCAGCTATGATGGGAAACCTTTAATTACTGTGAATATTTCCACTGTAGAAAACAGCGAGTTGGTCACAGTGATTCTCTCAAGCTGCGTACATGGCAAGCTGCAGGCCATGGAGGACCGGTTCTGGGCCTGTGCTTATCGTTTACACCACATGCTGGAAGACAAAGTCCTCCTGCCTGGTGCTGGAGTGACAGAAATGCTTTGTGTTCACCACCTTCAAAGGGAAGCAGAGAAACATGTCAAGCATCACAGAGAGACGAACAGGGACTCAGCCGCTAACCCTTACAGAGGCGAAGTGTTGAACCTCATGGCAGATGGTTTATTAGATTACATATCCACCGTAATGGTTAACACCGGAAGGTTCTCAAAAGTCAAAGCCATGACGGCAGTACGCCAACAACTGCAGAACAATAACGAAAGTCTTGATGCAAAGTTCTCACAGCTTTCCTTGGAAGGTGAAGAGGAAGATAGTGGAGTTTCATTACCGAGGAAATCAAGCAAAGCACCCGCAGTAAAGATCTATGATAACCTGAGTGTGAAGCAGGAAGCATGGAGGAAAGCTCTAGATCTGGTCGTCCTGGTCTTGCAGACTGATGCAGAGGTCATCACAGGCATTGACCAAACATCTGATGATACACAAGAAAAGCTAATGCTGTTGTGATGTCATTTTGAAGGATTGGCTGTCCTACACATCTGATTGTTTTTGATCCCAAATTGGGAAAATATATGTATTTAACTTGTTTGTAATGTATTTTTGTATGACTGGTACAAAGGAAAAGTCAAATAAAGTGTTTTCATATTCTTTATTCTCTTGCCATCAATAAATAGTCAAAAAAAAATACTTCACATGTGCTACCACTTGGGGGAGACAAATTATTATATGACACTTGAGTTTATCTGACTTTTTAATCCAAACTGATGAATGACAATCTGATCAAAAAGAGATTCTGAATTGTGAAAATCATGAATATTCCTAATTCATGCATGTTCACGAAAGCATCTGATTACCTCTTTAATGATTTGAATCCTGACCTCTACGTATTCGGAAGAAATTGGAGAACAGCATCTTGAAATAAAACAAAACAGATATGAAGTACAGTCAGTAGTTATTAGATATGTCAGATTTCTCCGTTCACAGGAAATACAATAAAAGTCAGTTTATATGTATTATCAACCAGGCCTGAATTCGCTTACATTACATGACTGTGAACACACCTTTTGTCTTCATGGTTAGTTCCCAAAATAAATAGTGCATGTCCAACACAACAATATATTTCCCCCCCTTACAGGTGTATTTTTAGTGTTGTTCCCGTTCCTTTATGATATTCACTATGTTCCTACTGCTTGGATAACACTGCTCACCTTATACCCTGAGACTGGAGGTTTAATGACCTGCTCTGTCATATTAGTAATGTTTGCAGGGGAAGGAACAGCTCCAGACAGAGTCAATGTTTTTGGTTAAGTCTTATTAGGTCATTTCCTTGAACGAAGTGAAATAAATGTAATAACAAGGTTATAATTTTTTTTAATTTATTCTAGAAACCATCCATTTTCCTTCCTAAAAGATCATTGGAAGGTCACAGGAATATTACAGACCCTTGCAATCCTTGGCACTTGATGCCTTACGTTGATTCACCCATGAATCAAGGCTTATTTTACAATCAGATTCACAACACTTTATTTTTCTAAGGTAACATTTTTCATGACAGTTGCTCCATTTTTGAAGGAAATAAAAAAAAGATAACGAAAAAAGAAATATGTAAAATATTTATTAAAATGTAAAAAAATACCAATAGTTCATAAAGATGTTCAAGTTAAATGTCCAATCAAAAGATACAATTAAATTGAATGCACACAACAAGATCAAATAAAATACAAATATTTATATAAAACATTAGAAGTTAAAATATCCAATAAAAAAAGAATACATACATATGAAACGAGAAAAGGTCAAATAAAAAAAAATAATAATAAGTTTAAATAAAAACGTGCACAATTGTAACCTTTATTCCTTTTGGGGAAACACACTGTTATTCCACAGAAGAAATGTCTACTAATTGGAACATTAAAAAACCATGAAGCGTAAAAGAGAAGCACTCTCGGTTACCTTTGGACTCTTTCCTATTATGCGCGTTGTATTTCAAAGGTGTCAGCTAAAGTGAAACGTGAGACCTTCCATTTCCTCTGAGTGTCTTATTGCATCCTAAAAATAGTTCAGTGTAATAAAAAGTTTGCAAATGCTTTACTGTGACCATAACAACCTTGACTCAGGCATTACTCAGCAGGGGTGTACGATTGAGAAGGGGGGGGGGGGGGGTGGAGTATGACATAACATCACAGACACAACATTGATGAGGAAATCGGTAGTGAAGTCTGACACATCTGAGAATTCAGGCTTTCACATTACTGGCTGCTGCAAGCTTCATATGCATGGAGAAAAACCTGGACTGATGCATGCACAAATCTTAGATTACCTAAATAAAGTTTACAAGGTGTGTAAGATGATCCAGTTTAATTTCATATTTGCAAGATGAGACCATAGATTGTTCATTTAATTTGGCTTGGGTACCTTATTCATTGACGAACAATTACTATTCCAATATTTTGAAAGAAACTTAAGGCAAGTTTTATTTTGATGTGCTACATGGTATGGAGGTATTGGTATTCACAAATTATAATTTTAAAGTCATGTTTTCCTGCACCAGAATGCCAGAGGAGCTTGTATGTGGCCTTCGTTTGAGAACAGGTGCCAATCCGATACAAGAATGTGTCATGCATGTATTTTTAGAAATAAATAACTGGCAAACCAAAAATAAGAATAGAGAGTTTCTCGATTGATACAGTCCCAGGAAAAGGCTCCTAAGGATGTCCGATACACATCTGAGATATGTTCTGTTTGGACTCCTATTTGGACTTAATCCTTACAAATATCCAAGTTTTAGTCACTCAATTTTCCTGACTGGATGTCAGATGTTTTAATGACTGTTGTAGTAAATGTATCATTACTGTTAAGTCTCATTTAAGTATAACTTCCTTCTCTGGTTTGATTTTCCCGCGGTTTGAATTCACATCTAGCTTCTAATTCTCACTTCCTTAGAACAGACAGAAGGCTGTCTCTTCGACCATTGGTTTGTAATGAACATGTATGCACGTTTCAACCCATCTGGCCAACACTTCCTGTAATGTATATTGCCTCGCTGAGACCTTCCCCTTTCCTTGCTTTTGAGTGTATAAAGTGTTTGTATTTTCTGTTGTATGTTGTCAGATCTTGTACGAACTTGTTGGTGCAAAGACTGTCCTTTCAGCTGAAATAGATTAACTCTGATGCTTTGACTTTTATTGACTTTATTAAATAACAAAACTTTGCTTTAAACTTATATTATATGTTCACTTGTTTTCGTCCACACTGACCAGTTGAACCAACAGCACAGCTGACTTTCACCCATCCACGAGTTCAGATGTGGTTACCATTACCCAGAAGGCCTGACCAGTGATTGTTTTTGGCAAATGGATGGTCGTAAAATCCGAGAAAAAAAAACCTTGCACAAATAAATCCCGTCACTAACTCTCAACTACTTCTGAGTAAATTCAGATTGGACATCATTCATGACGCAGGCTTGCTCATCGGAGTCTCCTGGCAACTCTCCTTCACATTGTTGTTTTGCACCTATGAATAGACCTTATTCAACTCTCAGGCTGCATGAATGGAAACACTGGTTCGGTTCACATGCTGCTCTTGGCGCTCTGAAGGGTCTCAGTGGCACAATCCAAGTTGCACGTCCCCCCCCCCCCCTCCTTGCCCTCATCTCCTTTCACGACTCCTTCTGGGTTGGTTGGTAAGAAAAGCGAGCCTTTAGTGGGCGTGAGCGAGTGTGTGTTGGTGCTCCTAGGGCGCATGCGAACTGAGGCCCGAAGGGGAAAGCCTTCCACACAGATCTAAGCCAGCTGCCCTGATTTAAACACTTCATTGCAAGAAGAGTGGAAGCGAAGGGGGAATCTGCATGCAATCCCCCCCCTACCAGTGTGCTCAAAGTACACTGGCAAAGCAGCTGCCCGATCTACAAGCTACACATTTGGACGCTTGCAAGTACAGGCATTAAGGAGTCTTTCTGTCTCACATTCTCAGGACGCAAAGGGCACTGGTTGTCCTGAGAGGAGGGTCCTTTAGGCAAACTGACCTCTGGGGTTAACCTGAATCAGTGTTTGTGAAGCTCTGTGGAGGAGGGGAGGAGGGAACAGTTAGTGGGAGGTGGGAGGCCACAGTGGGGCTCCTGAGCTGCTCAAGAAGGAGACGAAGCAGTCGCCGGGAAGCAAGGCAAGAGGAGGATATGGCCACGGGAGAAATCACAACACTTCCCTCCACACCTGATGACGGAGGCAGCGGCGGCTTTCCTCCCGGGAGCTTCAAGGACCCCAAAAGGCTGTACTGCAAAAACGGGGGCTTCTTCTTGAGGATAAAGCCTGAAGGGGGTGTGGATGGAATCCGGGAGAAGACCGACCCCCACAGTAAGTACTTCCAGTCCCTCTTCGTCTTTGCTCTGCACCGCACACAAAGCTTCTTTATGCCCTTTTTTAATTTGCAACAAGGAAGTCAAATCATCATGGAGGAACGATGTGAGTTTTCCAACTTGCTGAGGTTTACTCTCCACTTGTAAACACTAAAGCGTGTGTAGGCCTACGAATGGAAAGTTTAATAACCGCAGACCTTAATCAAAGGGAACTTAAATGGAAAATGCAGGATGTTTTTTAGTGAATGTAGATCCCCAGGTTGAGTCAAAGCCATTTACACTGCTTACTGTGGAGTTTACGTCACTCAAATCAGCACAACATGGAGTTAAAAGCCCAAATTAGTCATTTCCTGATCGACAGCTCCCTGTCAGTGTTTGACGTCAATGAACTAATATATCTAAAAATGATACTGTGAAAACTCAATAATAATTACAACCCCCAATCACTCTTAATTTTCACTCACTTACACATTGAGAGAAGTTTTAAGTTTTTCTAAAGTTCTCCTTGATTGAAATTGAAACAATCTGTACTCCTGTATCACTGATTACTTTTGGGTTGCATCAGTAAGTGGGAGGGGAGGAGATGGGACGTTAAAAAAGAAAAAGTTTTTCCGAGGAAAACATGTTTAGAAGTGTATTGCCCAAGACACATTGTGACCTTTCAAACAGGTGCCAGATCTGAAATCAGCTCAAGGACACATGCACTATTTTTAGAATAATTTAATTACATTCAGTGAGACTAAATTGACTTTTAAAGACACTTCCTGTTTTTCTGGATATCAAATGATCAGTATCAAAGTGTAAGTAATACATATCCCCAATGAGTTGCACAACAGGAGTCAGTATTCATAATTTGGCTTTTCCCAGCAATGCTTTTTTACAGTTAAGCTGAGCTGACTTTCATCAATGCTCCTATTGTTAGGGAGGTGATTGACCCGCCAACTTTTGGATAGCATAACATACCTTCCAGTAAAAATTGGTAATGTTAGTGAGAAATGTTTTCAAGGATTCAATTCAATTCATTTTAGTCACACACAGTTAAGAAGGGAAATGGGACACCCCAATAAGCAATCCAAAGCTTTAGATAGTGGCACAGGCACTAAATACATAGAAACATTAACAAGCTAAATTACATTTATTGTAACACTAAACAAATCCCCTAAAAACTGAGCTAATCTTTCACTACCTTATCAATGGTCCCACCACATTAATTTCTTCAGGTTTGACATAAGATATAATAAGCAGACATATTCTGCCTATTTTCAGGTCCATATTTGTATTTTGCGTCTACTGTGACATGTTTCCATGCTTTAATGTTAAAAAAGCTCGGACGGATACATATTCAAGTAGGAGTTCTGTGCCATACAGTATAGACTGGACTCTTGTCCATCATGTGTTCTTCCCATGTCAAAGTTTTGTGAGAAAATTATTCCACATGTAGAGTACTGTTGCCCTTATATCAATTACAGATACAGTAGACCCACATTGTACATAGACTGTACGATACGATAATACTTGGTACTATTATCATTGGTCAGATCAAGTCTGAAATTTGACTTGCATCACAGCATGTCCAACACCAACATAGACACATATCCAGACACAATACATGAAATACAAACAACGAACATTTAACATAACATCACAATCACTGAGAGAAAACATTGTCATGACCCTTTAGCGTGCATTAGACTGTCACAATTAAAGGTGGGGTAGGTCATTTTGGAGAAACCAGCTCGAGTGCGCAAGAATTTGAAAATACACAGCCGGAACAAGTCTGCCACTTCCTTACAGAGCCCCTCCTCCAACACACACGAACGCGCACATGACCTATGAGGGCACGAGATAAGATTCTGCACAGATGGAAGGCTGACAGGCAGGTAGGCCATCCAATCATTTTAGCCGGCTAAAATGATTGGTCGTGCTTTTTACTACGGCTTCCACAGATGACATTTTTTTATGGATTTTTTGTCAAAGCACTAAAATATTCATTGCTATCGGGATGTTAAGAGCATTCCATGGAATATAACAAAAAGCGTATCTCGAGCCGGTTTCTCAAACTTACCTACCCCACCTTCAAAGGGGAGGTTTTTTCTGTATTCACATTAATGGGACGTAATATTCCTAGAAACACTAAACACACGGCAGCACACTCCCACTAATTATTCATTTTCTTCTGGGAAGAACACCTCTTTGATCTGAGACATTAATTATCCAGGCAGCAAGCTTAACTGTAGACAGATGTGCATCTATGTGAAGTCTTAATGTGGAATCATTCCAGACAGACCTTCTCATTTACCTTATGGGGCCCCTGCTTCCTTTTTTTGTGGTTTGGCTTCATGCAAAGTATGCTGTGTTGGCGAGCATTCTCTTTAAAGAAATGTGGAGATGATTTTGATACGCGTACGAGGCAACAGGTACTCTGCTCAGTCCGCTTTAAGTGACTCGTACTGCTACTTTAAAGGTTGAGATTAATTTTGCATACTTCTTGTGTTTATGGTGGTTCAGCTGCAGGAAAAAAAAACGTTGGATTGTATCAAATGAAGAAGGAACTTAGGAGAATTGCAAATGAGTTGCTGGTTATCAAAATGATTGATCGGTTAGCTTAATTTAGGTTCTTTAGCCTATTATTTTGCTTTCCCATCTGATTTACTGCCTCCAATAGAAACAGCGCTAAAATGAAAGTTACTATTGGAAATGTGTTTATCAGGAAAACACAGACTGGACAAACAATGTCTGCAGGAATGTATTTGCTAACTTGTACTTAGCCTTGACAACTTTATAATTTGGTGATATGGTGTGTCACTGTTTCACTGCCACCTTACATTAAAGGGGACCTATCATGCAAAATGCACTTTTGTATGTCTTTTATACATGAATATGTGTCCCCGGTGTTCCAGGGAACTCACCAAGTGTCAGAAAACACAACCCTCTCTATTTTCCTCCATACCCAAATCTCTAAAAAAAGGGGCTGCAACGGATCTGATAAAAACTGATCCAGATTTGAACACTGTCCTGACGTCAGGACAGTGGCGCTACGGCTATTGGGTCAACTCCACCAATCAGGAGGAGACAGCCCTGGAGATGCTGTAGTACATATGCCAGGCCTGTAGATGGTGCTGTTCTCACAGAATCTGCCCTTGCAAAAACAGAGCAAATTTTTTTCAAATTGAGCGAAATGAGGCATGGCTAAAATGCATGATCTGTTTGGTATTTAAAAAAAAAAAAAGTATAAATATGCCTTATATAGGTATGGTCCTACACTATATTATTCAAATATAGCATGATAGGTCCACTTTAACTAATGCAGATTTAGGTTGAATCATTCTCTATCTTTGTTATTTCTGTCTTGTGCTATCTAGCTTGTCACAGATCTTTCCTCAAATTCAACTGTGCCCTGCAAGATGTTAGAACAGGCTGTCTTTAAGGCCTTACTTGTTACTCTCACTTGTTACTCATGTTTACTCCTGTAGAAAACATGACATATTGAAATGCCTCACATTGCATCCTTGATTTGATATGTGTGGCGAGTTGCTGGCTCTGTGGTAACCATACACATCAATAGGATTTGGTTTTGTATTTTTATAAAATTGCTGCACAGCCCTTACTCTGTTCCCTTTAATTAAACATCCCACAAGCAAACTACTAAAGATGTCTGTATTGGTTCAAACTAACATTTGTTTCTTCCTCAGTAAAACTTCAACTCCAGGCGACCTCAGTGGGCGAAGTGGTCATCAAAGGAGTGTGTGCGAATCGCTATCTGGCCATGAACAGAGATGGACGACTGTTTGGAGCGGTGAGTGAGCTACACCAACATCCTACTGAACTAAAAACTAAATTGTTTCCTTTCTGTAAAGTGTGCTGAGATTATAAGGTATACAGTCCTTACAAATCATCAAATGGTATTTTTCTGTATGGGGCTTTAAACGATTTGCAGAGATGGCAAAAGTACCAACATCCTTTACTCAATTAGAAGTACAGTCAGATACTCAAAAATACTCTGGTAAAAGTAGAAGTACTGACTAAACTTATTTACTTAAGTAAAAGTAAAGAAGTATCGTGTTCACACCGGAATAAGTACCTGAGGGAGGATTACGCAAATGAAGCCGCTGACGTCACTTCTTCTTCTTCTGCTTTGGGTTTACTGGCAGGCCGCAAACAACTTCACGGCGTATACTGCCACCCGGACTCGGTAAATCGTTGTTTTGCAGTAAATCGCCAGAAGCGCCGACACCTCCTCATCACTCCACCGCTCCCACGTTTTATTTTGTGTTGCCATAAGTTAGTCTCTCTCCGTTGGTGCGCTGGGCTAATGCTAATGCTAATAATGCTAATGCGAGCAAATAAAATGGCGGTTTCACAAAACTTTTCGGAGTTTTACGGGGGGTGGTTTGCAACTCGCCCAGCCAATCAGAAATTGGAACCATTTCCTCCCCAGGAAAGTACCACCTCTCTAGCAGGGACTGAAAAGGGGTGAAAAGGTTCCCGAAAACTAGGTTCTAGTTCCAGATCTTTTTGGTGTGAAAGCAAAATCCCAAGAACTATCGGAACTATTCCTGGGAAAAGTACTCCGGTGTGAAAGCGCCTATTGTCATTGTTAGCTAATGAATGTTTTGATGCTGAACAACGGCAAAATGACAACGTTTTCATTGGTCCCTCTTCTTTAGAGAAGACCAGGAAATTATGTATACACGGATCGTGTTAAAATCAATAGGCACGCAATAGGCGCTTTCACACCGGAGTACTTTTCCCAGGAATAGTTCCGACAGTTCCTGGGATTTTGCGTTCACACCAAAAATATCTGGAACTAGAACTTTTTTTCGGGAACCCCTTTTTAGTGCCTGCTAGAGAGGTGGTACTTTCCTGGGGAGGAAAAGGTTCCAATTTCTGATTGGCTGGGCGAATTGCAAACCACGCCCCGTAAAACTCTGAAAAGTTTTGTGAAGCCGCCATTTTATTTGCTCGTATTAGCATTATTATCATTAGCATTAGTCCAGCGCACCAACGGAGAGAGACTAACTTATGGCAACACAAAATAAAACGTGGGCGTGGTGGAGTGATGAGGAGGTGTCGGCGCTTCTGGCGATTTACCCGGGACTTCGGGTGGCAGTATACGCCGTGAAGTTGTTTGCGGCCTGCCAGTAAACCCAAAGCAGAAGAAGAAGAAGTGACGTCAGCGGCTTCATTTGCGTAATCTTCCCTCAGGGACTTATTCCGGTGTGAACGTGATCTACTAGATAGTTCCGGAACTAAAGAGTTCCGGGGAACTAAGTTCCGGCAACTATTCCTGGGAACAGTACTTGAAAGTGTGAAACCGCCTAATGACTCTAAATAATAATGATCACGCCACCAAACACAGATTAAAACTAAAGTAACGAGCTTGTTTTGAAAATGTAAGCAGTAGAAAGTACAGGTATTTGTGTTAAAAATGTAATAAGTAAAAGTAAAAAGTCGTCGTATGTACTTAAGTACAGTAACGAAGTATTTGTACTCCACTACTTCCCAACTCTGACGATTTGTGATATAAAAGTCCTTTTGACATATTAAACACCCACAGTAAATGTCTTCTGCCTTCGTCACATGCAGCATTTAGACTGCTGTGTTATGGACACAGTAACAACAAGTACTTAACAGCCACCCAACAATAAATCCTCCCACGCAGGAAATAATTAAGTTGACACACGTTTGTCATAGTCAGCACTGAGGATAAAAAAAGTTTGTCAAAACATTAAACAGACCCTGGGCCAATGATCAGAATGTGGGTTCAAGTGCAGTTTTTTAAACGTTTTTTTGTCCGTTCTCAAGTGTTTTCTTGGCATTAACATTGCCTTGGCCAACAACATCATGTCACTGATCATGGTAACGCTAGCAAGTTTGAGTTTGAGTGTTTACGTCTTAAATCACATTATGTTACATGACTTGGGATTCGATTTTGTACCCACAAAGTCCAAAAAGGCAAATAAACAAATACATGATGTGCAAGACCTTACTTTGGATCTGCTGAACAAACACAATACCTCTATTCAAATACCCACTTCAGTTAGAAGGTATCAGATGACATTATGACACTATGATAATTAAAATGATTGCAACTGGGTTAATGGTTGATGTTACTCCATTAATGTTCAACTTCTTCGTGAAAAATCAGGCTCATTAAAGTAGAAAATAGGACGCAGACTTCTCCAAAAGTCTAGTTGCTGCTGGTGTGTTTGTGGAAGAATGTGACCTCTAATATTTGCAGGATTAAGTGTGCATTTTTTACGATCTCCACGGGCAACCTGACAGCCAGGAGGGAGGGGGGGGTTTGGGAAGGCAACGGACTTAGCAGAACTTAGTCTGAGAGACGAGACACAGAAACACAGAAATACAGATATGTTTAAGGAGCTGCATCCAACAATTAATTGGGTATAAGATAAGATGTACTTTATTGATCCCAAATTAGGGAATGTTGCGTTGCAGCAGCATAAAAAAACAACACAAGGCATTGCACATAAGTAGAAATGAAAGAGTTGAAATAAACAATTCTACTCTGACAATAAAACACTATTGAAGGAAAATTGGGAAGGCAGATTTTAGTTAATTCTGATAATGACATTTGTGAATGAGAGGAGTTTAAAAAGCATGGTAAAAAAGAAAAGATTGATAGGTTGGACAATTATAAAGGAATACTTGGAAAAACACAGAAACTTATTAGTAAAATAAAAAGTTAGAGAGAAGATGTCACTTTTTAAAAAGCTTCTGTTTTAGGTAAACGCAGTCTGCTATTTTATTGACCAGACATACAGTAGCTCACTAAGTAACACAGCCCTAAATAGGAAGACATGACTGGTGGCAGCAAATCATTTGAAGTATGTTTTCTTTGAAATGTAAACGTTTCAATTAAACTCACAGATTGTCTAACTGACCAGAAGTAAAACTAAGTTTAACTGTTTAATTGTTCACTGATCAAGCATCTTATATAAGCAAAAGAGGAATTAGAAACGTTTTATTTTGTATTTTGTTTAATTACCTGCCGTACTGTCAAACTAAATGGATCTGAAGGATGTTCTGACTGCATGAGAAGCTGCTGGTCTGCTGCCACAGAGTTGTTGCTCACAGCGGGCGGCAGTGGAAGTGTGAAGTTTGAAGTGTGTGTGACTGATGTGGTTCGGTGGTTGTGAAGACTTGTCCACAGGCCATGTAATTGGCAAGAATCATTTCCTCCCTAATGAGAAGCTCCAGCAGCTGCCACCCAGTTCTCTGTCCTGCTTTGACTCGGTCGTAGAAAAACATTTAAAACCCAGAAAAATATTAACTCTCTTCTTATTACCATTTGTGGTGTGAAAAAAAAGTTGGAATATTGAAATGACAGTTTGTACCCTCTAATTTAGCACCTTGACCGGTATGGTGCACATGTTCTAGTTATATACTATTTATTAAAATGTTCTTTGTTGATATAATTGACGACTTACACATTAGTCAAACAACACATTTGTTCTGCCTATAGTATTTGTACAAGATTAACTAATTTTCTATATTTTTTTCCACCATTAACCTTAAAATGTTTTAATAAAAACACTTGATAAAATGTATGATAGTAAATGTAAAATAGTAGTTCAATAAAAAAAAGAAACAAAAAAGATTATCCAATATAATAGATTATGACATTTCTTTGGTTTTCCGATTGAAATAAAACTCTGCAAAATGTTTATTCGAAGCTGTAACTTTGTATAATTAATTGTTCCCTGGGTGGTTGTTGCCGTTGAAAGAAAAATGTCCTCTGACTAATAGCTGTAGAGTCACAGTCAAATAAAAAGAAACGTAAAAACAAAAGTCTCTTGTTGAGCAGGGTGTTGGGCAGCTAACGCCCAGCGAGACAGAACGATTTTGGCCAGACGTTCAGTAATTAATGTTTTCTAGAAGGTTCAAAGAGCGGATATTGAGAGCACTTGTGATGGATATGGTTAATAACATACCAGCCAAGAGAGATACAAAAAAAAACAGTTTGTCTAAGACATCTTTATTTGTTCAGTTTTCGATATGTTCTCTGTTTGTTTAAATCATTATTGTTTAACATTTCAAGCCGTTCACCTCCAATGAACAATATTAGATGTTTTATTTCACAATAGACACTGAATTAAGCTGTAATAATGTCCCTGGTCAGCGTATTTTCCTGCCAATATCTTTACTCTATTGGTTTGAAACACTTGCAGCTCACAGAATGTATAAGAAACCAACAGTCTTCTTCAAAACAAAGGTGACATTAAGCGCTTGGTGTTTTATGTGGCACTTTAATATCAGAACATTTCAGCATAACACATATTCTCCCTTTCCAACAATATATATATTAAACAAATTCAATCAAATGTTATCCAAACAAAATAACCTGTTTGATAAAAGTGGTATAATAAAAAGAGAGGGGTACAAGCAGTTTGGAAAGTAACATTTATATTAATTGTACAGACAGTATGACCTAACTTCAGTTTCCATTTGTTGAAATAATAAAGACGAGTTTCACAGTATTTTTCCTCCGTTTGCAAGGACATTTGAGTGTATTGCAATGGGAAGTTGTCCAAAAAGCAAAAAGGTGTAGATTTAACCCTTGCTCTCTTAAAGGGGACCTATCATGCAAAATGCACTTTGTGATGTCTTTTATACATAAATATGTGTCCCCGGTGCGTCGGGGAACTCACGCAGCGTCAGAAAATAAAACCCTCTCTTTTCCTCCGTTCCCAAATCTTTTAAAAACGGAGGTACAACGAGCGGATACAGATTTGCTGCCGATCTGACGTCAAATCGGCAGCGGACCCACAGAAAGTTGCTATCAGAAACAATGCCTGACGTGTTTTGGATGTAATCTCGTCTTTGTTTACATTAGCAAGCCTCGCTAACACTCAGAGCTAACCTGTACTGGAGAGCACATGTGTTTGAAAAGAAGGAAATTAAAAAAAGAACTCACCTTGTGATAAACCCGCAAGAGAAAAAGCATTTGAGCTCCATACTGTTTCAGAAATAATCCTTGATGTGGTTTAGAACATGATGGCGTTTTATCACAACAGAATTTAACTTTATCTCCGGTAGAATTCTGATCAGGCATTAGCTCCGCCTCCTCTTTTTTTTTTTTCAAGCTAAGGACCCAAAATCCGCGTTTCTCTAATGCCGCAGTTCCACTACACGGTCGGCCTCGGCCACGCTCGGTACGGCTCGGTACGGCTTGGCCGCGTTGGGCCGACTCACTTCATGCTGCGCTTCCATTACAGTTTAGGAACTGGGGTAGTTACTATAGTAACGCAGTGTAGGCGGAGCCGTGACGTCATCTTCAATGAGAACTCCAGAAACACAACACAGCCGTTAGCTGTTAGCACTCAGAGCTCACAGCTCCTTAAATATGTTCAGAAACTCGACAAAAGTTAAACAAGTACACACCACAGACTGCCTGTGTCATGGTGAATACAGTCGCTGCTTTATTTATGTCTGTATAGGCCGTTGTTGTGAGTGTGGACGGTCGGAGCATATACTGCGTTAGCTTAGCCAATCTCCATCTAGAAAAACACGAATTTTAAAAGGTTTTTCGCCTGCCGTCTGTCTGCAGACTTGACAAAGCATTAATTCATGGTTTTTACTAACCGGTATCAGTATGTTGTTACTTCGGCATCATTTTGAAACGTGTATTACAATTAAATCACGGTCAAATATGTCCATCTTGTTGTAGTTGTAGCCCTCTTGCCAGCGCTCCTCTCTCTAGTTTAGCATACTCAGCCCGACTCAGCCCTGTTTGTTGGCCCCGATAGAACCACAATTTTGTCGGACCAGAAAAGAGGTGAAAAAGTGGCCCCGGGCCGGGCCGGGCCGTAACTAGGCCTAGTGGAAGCGCAACCAAAAACGGGTACGGCACGACACGGCACGCTTAAAGCGAGCTCCGCGCTGTAGTGGAACTGCGCCATAACAGGGCTGCAAAAGAGGGGTATGAGCAGTATGAGGCATGGCTACAATGGGTGATCTGTTTGGTATCTTAAGCAAAAAACTTCACAGACATGTTTTGTATAGGTATGGCCCTACAATATATTTTTCCAATATAGCATAATAGGTCCACTTTAAATCCCAGCATACTTAATTTCCGTCCATTGAACATTAAATGAAAGTGATTTCTCTGTGTCTTCTCTCCAGAGACGAGCGACAGATGAATGCTACTTCTTGGAGCGGCTCGAGAGCAACAACTACAACACGTACCGCTCCAGGAAGTACCCCGACATGTACGTGGCCCTGAAGAGAAGCGGCCAGTACAAGCCCGGGAGCAAAACTAGCCGAGGTCAAAAGGCCATCCTGTTTCTTCCAATGGCTGCCAAGGCTAGAAGAAGATGTGACGGCAATGAAGACAAAGTGGCTCCATCAACATTGCCCCAAAACAGCTGTGATGCATTCTGACTGTTGTATCCTGAACATGTCTGCTCTTAGTCAGCTTTTACTTTCAAACTGTGGCCACATTCACACCTAGCTGCTTCACAGTAACAAATGTAGACCTGCTAACTGAAACCAGGTACCTTGCTGAATTTGACTTAAAGTAACAACCCTTTCCTACTGTCCAGCTCCTGTAGTCTAAACTTAGCTGTAAGATGAAGGTATAAGGTCCACATATACTGTTAAAACAAGTTAAAAAAGAACATGCATCCAAATCATACACCATTATAACCTGATAAGAGATTAGGGACTGAACTAAATAACTACATTTTAGGATTTTGTATTTTGTCAAAAAAACTAAGCACACTAAACCAACTCAAATCAAAGCCCAAGCACTAGTTTTATCGTGTCATTTTACACAACTCAGAATATTCACACACACACACAGAAACTGAACAGGTTTCCTGAGCTTGTTTTTGTTTTCGGATAAAACTGTGTTTCCCTTCTGTATTGCCAAATTCCCACGAGGACAATGGTTTTAAATGATGTCTAGTTCAATGACAGAAAGGCAGTTAACTTCAACAACAACAATTATTTTGAGATACTTGACCAGTCAGTAATTTCATTAAGGCAGCCAATATTGATATTGCAACACCTAACCTTATGTTAGCTTCTTCCAGTATGTCTTCAGCTGACACTGGTGGTTAGCTCGTTAGCAAGACCTGCTACAAGTTAAAAACACAGCAACCTTTAAAAAATAGTGCCTTTGACAAATGAAATAGCTGCTTGGAGCCACTATTTCCCAACGGTAAGGCTACCAAACAAGTGTTATAAATATGAACCGTATAAAATGGTGGTTCAGGTATAGAGTGGTGCAGTGATGACATATGTATGTAGTCCAACCTGGAAGTTAGCATGGCAAGGGCTCAACCCAAAAATAATCGGGATTTATTCAGGATAATATTCAGATATTAACATCATTGTTTTAATAGTTGAATGCAATCGCCAGAAGTAAAAAAGCTAACGTTGGGCTATCAATGAACTTCATAACTGTCACGTGACTTCACGTCAACAGGGCTAAGCTAAATGCGGCTAATGTGTTTCATTTAGTGATTTAGTTCGCAACTATTGCTTTTATGACACATAGAAGCTTGAGACATTCACCACTGGGGTATTTACTGATGTTGTCGTATAACTAAACGTGAACATCTCATGAGCTTGTATTAGTCCTTGTATCCCAAACCAGATGAAGGAACCCCGAAATGCTAACTCCTCAATGCTAACTGCTCTATGCTAACATCCAGGTTTAGGATTCATTCTTGCACCACTCTATTGTTCCAAATATATTTTGGAAGACAGACACACTGCAAACATCCTTCCAGTCATAAATACACTTTAAATGAGTAATACTGACAGCTATGTGTCAACATAACCCCATCGGGGTGCTAGGATTTCAGTGTGGAAGGAAGCTGCCGGTGATACAGCTGGTAAAACTTCCCCGAGTAGACGGCACGAATCACCTCCATGGAGAGGTCGATGTTGTGGAAGCCGCTCTCCAGGCCGTGGAGCAGTAGCTGGGCGACACGAGCGGTGATCGGGGTGGTGTGCTCGGTCTTAGCTAGCTCTGCAAGCTGGAGCCACTCGCAGCGCAGACATTCTTGAGTGCAGAAGTTAATGTCATAGGTGAGAGGGCTGAGTCGGCAGATGATGTACATGTCCGACATGCCAAAGGCGCCGGGTAGGTCGTGCTGCTGCCTGATGCTGAGTAGAGATCTGAACTCTGAGCGAACGCCAGTTTCCTCGAACACTTCCCTGACCGCAGTAGTACCTGAGAAAGATTCATTAAAGGTCACCTATTATGCAAAATCCACTTTTTCATGTATTTTATACATCAACATGTGTCCCCTCTGTGTAAAGAGATTCTGAAAGTTTCAGGAAAAAAGATTCTCTCTCTTTTTGTCCTGATCCATTTATATAAAAACCTGTCTGAAAATGAGCTGATCAGATTTTGGCCACTTTATGATGTCATAACGATTTTTTGGCTTGTGTAACCATTAGCCAATCAGCAACCAAGGTAACCCCCCCCCCCCCACCTTATCACCTGAATCTCCTCCTAGAGCACCATTGTGTTCTTTTTAACCAAATCTCTCTCAGAGGGGCGTGGGGAGGGGCTCCTTATTTTCATCTAAAGTAACAGACAGAGAATCAGCACTTTTGAAACAGGGTTGAAACAGAGGGGATTATGGGATGCTGCAATGATCTGTTTGGTGTTTGGAGACAAACACTTCAGAGACATGTTTTATATATCTGAGACCTATAATATATTGATGAAAAACAGTATGATAGGGGACCTTTAAAATATTACTAAATGTACGTGGAGGAATTGTAAAGATCTTGACTAAAAGGAATATATTCACGTTCCCTTGTCAGAGTCACCTGATCTTAAGATGTGGGGGAAAAGGGAAAATATATATATTTTTTGTAAAGACAAACGCTGCTTTTTGTGTTGGGCCATGTATATAATACCAAAGCTGCTTTTGAGGTGAATTTGGAGAAACAGATATAAATATTTGCATATATATATATATCATGTGCCTTGTTTTGTACGGTTCAAATGAATGTATCATCATCTAAAATCGAAGGCTTTAGCTGTAGATGTACTGTATTAGTTTTGTGACACTCACCAATATTTTCTGCTAGATCAGACAAGCCGCCGGGGAACTTCCAAGCATTCATTGTCTGAAATACAGAAATAAAAATCAACATCAATTGTGATAGAAGGCACTGCTGTAAATGTATATTAGAGTCATATCTTGTTTTGTGTTAAACTTCTTCTGGTGCCGTCCAGTTTAAAGTCACTTGTTTCCTGCAAGTGTTTAAAAATCAATGGCACCAAGTTTTTTGTTGTTATATAAAATCACAGCAAGTAGCGGACTTTGTGAAAGTATCTTCGTATGTATCTAAACTAATAGTTAAACATGTAGAGAGATGTTTAATAAGAGCATCCTTTCATTTTATGTTTTATATTTAGTGCCTCACTCTGGAGGCTTTTACATTTGCTGCGGTGAAGTGTGTCTTCAAAAGCTGTTTCACCACTTACCCTCGATATTTAATAACAGTATGCTGCTGGTTAAGTTATGATGTCAGTGTTGTGTATATATATATATTTTTGTAGTTATCAAAGACATTTGTATGCAGTGCTTTTTTTCCCATTTAGAAATGCTATCTCATCTTTCCTTGTTCCTTGAACACATGTGCACTACAGCTTTTATTTGTGTGTATTGTCAACAGAATGCTATATTTTTGAAGCTGTTTCTATGAATGGGCTGGAAAGGAAGAAATAAAGAGATTTTGTGTAACTCTAATCAGTGTGGTGTTTTTTGATATATATTTTTTTTCTTGTGATATGCCCTTAATTATTATTACATGTCATTTGTTAGACGCTTTTATCCAAAGCGACTTACATACATTCAGTACTGTGGACAATCCCCACAGGAGCAATTTGGGGTGAAGTGTCTTGCCCAGGGACACAACGACATGCTGACTGCAGTGGGACTCGAACTTGCTACCCCCTGATTTCAAGTCCAGCACACTACCGACTGAGCCACAGCCCACAGAGGGGAAATGTACATTCTGCATTTGACCCATCCTACTGTAGGAGCAGTGTAGGGAACAGTGCCTTGCTCAGGGACACCTCGGTAGCACTTAGTCATTTTCAGAGTAAAAAAACAGGGTTGGGAAGGTCTAAAAGTGTATTCCGTTATAATTACTTATTACCTGTAAAATAATGGAAATCAGTAAACTAATCTGAGTTTCACAGTATGATGCTTTTTGGGGTTTTCCTTTTCCTATAGTTTGTTACATAGGTTTTTGTGCATGTGAATGGTCTGCAAAGGATAAAATACAAAAGTTGAAGATAATAGGACCCCTTTTAGTAATGTAACCTGATCCCTTTCCACTAGTTGTGGATTACCTCCATTTTAAATGGAATGAAAAATAACTACAAGAGGAAAGAAATATCACTAAAATGTGTTTTACTTAAGTGTATTATGCAAGAAAACAGAACAATGTAACCTTAGAAAAGAAGAAACCTGCCTTTCATTAAGCACATGCAGGCAGCAGTTCATATATAATTAAATTAGTGCATTGTAAAATTGTAATCCTGCAAGTAATCCCTATTTTTTGGTTGGATCAATGTTTTTGTAACTGTTAGGGAATACATTTGTATTTGTTTGAATGCTAATTACGTAATATTGTTACATGTTTTCTGTTACTCCCCAAGTCGGTAAACAACCTTCAGTTCACTGAGGATCTGTCCCTTGTTGTGAGTGATAATATCTTTAGTTTCCGGAAGTTCGTACCCTTTCGTGAGCTCTGAACTGCCAGACTCTTGTGCAGCACATTTCCAGTAAACAGCCCGATGGAGGAGGAGAGGAAGAGATTAAATACTTCCCACACTTCCAGGCCACTAACTGCTTCCCATTAGAAGCTTTTAGGATTCCCAGCTGGGACACATTGCTGCATGTTGTCAGCAAACAGGCCCACTTAAATAAAGTCAATTATAATGTGCACTATATTGGTCAAAGGACTTGGATGTTATAGTGGTTTTACTGTAACCTGAACTTTCTGAGAGACTTACAAGAAAAAGGCATAACAGCTTCAAATGGATCTTGAACTCAGATTATACTGTCAGATGTTTTCTGGACAGATGTATTTGGTTTTAAAATGTGTGTCTTTTTTATTTCTAACTTCACCCTAATACGACGCAGTGTTAGACAATCATTTGGGGAATTCAATCCTCAAAGAGTTATTGATCAGTATAAGACATGGACAACAATAGAGTAATGACAAATAATATATGTTGGAATAAATCAGGGTACATTTTGTTCCTGCAGACATCTGAACTCTGACATGTTTTATTCCTCTGGAGGCCAGTTGTTTAACAGGCTCTTTGGTGAACAGTTTTGCAACCAAGGATTATTTTTAATTTTCTATGAAGCGATAGAATTGTGTCTTGAATGCTTGGATTCAGTTGAGTATAAGAGAAACAATCCAGTTACCCAGAGCTTAATGTTATTTTATCTTCAAATGAACTGTTAACATAAATCAGCAGTCAAAACAATCAATACAACTTTGCTCATAATTTTTTTTTTACAATGTCCTAAAGCCTTAGCTAAGAATACTTATAAATGACCTTAAATTAAATTTATAATTTACTAATCAATGTACACTGTTATTTTCACATACACTTCTTACACATATATCTGTATGTGTGCTATAAATGGCAGTGACGCAATAATTGGAAATATGGGAGACTTTTGTGATATCTCTAGGTACCCTCAAGTTTTAACCTTACACAGGCTTGAAACCCCGTGCTAGCGTTAAGGGGCATTTACACTTTTAACATGCTTTTCATTTTGGTCTTTAATGGTGGCTTGTTGTAACTTGTTCTTGGGTGAAGGGAGAAACAACTACGGCATTTCCACAGTGCATCAAATCTATATGAAGCTCAGCGCAAGTTCAACCAGGAAGACCTTCTTTACTCATTAATTGACTATATGTCCATGTTACTACTCTCTCTCCTCTCAATAAGTGATCGGGGGCGTCACTCCCCAGCTTAACCAATCACTTCGCTCTATTCTCACAAGCCTATCATAGCGCTCCGCTAACCCTTTTCAATCTGCTCTCCCCTCTGACAGCTGTCATTTCAGGTGACTCAACGCAACCCTCCTCCACCCCTTTTCACCTCCTGTCCCTCTGAATCCAGGGTCAAGCTAAGCCACTCCCCTTCAGACCGAACCAAACCATCTATTCACCACCACCAGTGTCTAGACCCCGGGGGGGAATGATACTCCTGCACAACGGGGCCTAATCGCCAAAACTCCATTACATTCATTTGTGTATTCCTGGCAATAAATATGTATTCTTACATCAAAACCGTCTCTCCTGATTGAAATACTGGTGTACCTTATATAACATGGGTTTGCACAATGCCAGGACTTGTGTGACGTTTAATGCTATCATTTCCTGGTACTTAAGCAGTAATGGTGGTGTGGGGTCACATTACAAAGTATGTTTGTATTTAGGACAGAAGCAGCTGCCTTACACTTTTTCAGCATTTATACTGATTAGGTAACAACATGTACACTTGATCAGGGTATATGCAGGAATCCTGAAGTCAAATGTAATACCTTTTAAGACCTTTTTTAAGACCCTTTCCATACATTTTAAGACCTCATCGCCACTTCGAGTTTTAACCGGTTACATTGGCGACACACTTTACCTCACATTTACTATATACAGTATTGATTGTCCTTCCTCCTTATCTTCTAACCATTTGGACGCAGACTTGCATTTCCCCATAACGATGTTGTTTAACAACCGGCATAAACGGACCTTCGCGCGCTATCAAGCAGTGAGCGTGCGATGTCCTGTTCAGATGACGTCAAATCCAACGGGATGCCATAAATAAACTACACAGAATCACACTACACACCTACGCAATGATTACATTCAGGCAGACTGTAGAATACAACCTCTTTGGACAATTTATATACTTATTGAAAACAAGCTACAAAATGTAATACCTTGGAAAATGCCGTTTAATACTTTTTAATAGCCTTAATTTTCGCTAAATTGATTTATCAACTTCTAATACTTTTTAAGACCCCGCGGACACCCTGTTGATGTGAACGTTACTTCTTGCCTTGTTTACATCAAGTCAAGTGAGCCGAGACATCTTTAAACATAATTCGTTTTGAAATCGCAGCATCATGGTGCAATCTTGTTTTTGAATGCAAACAGATCTGTGTATAAACTGTGTTTTTAAAGGGGGTCTGTTGAGCACTACAGCAGAGCTCTGTGAGAGCTGAGGGAGGCACACACTCATGAAGTTGTTTGAGTGCATTCAGCTCACGTAAACAGAGTGTTTGCTTCAGGTCAACTGATGTTGTGTGGAGCAATGTTAAGTGTGAGATGTGAGAGGATTTCCAACCACAGAGGCAACATACATCTCACTAAACAAACACAATCAATCACAGACATCTTTAGCAGCACCTGATCGGTTGATGGAAGGATCCGTTTCCATTGCTTTCTGACTCAAATAGGCAATATTTGGTAAACTAGCTGCCAAAATATATTTCCAACTAACCAAAATACGTCATGATTTTATTTTGTGAAATGTGTCATAATGGCAAATGTTTATATATAAATACATTCCTGTTTAGAAATGTAATGTTTTCTGGATTTTCTACTGTTTCCTGAAGAATTTTAGGGAACTATACGGCAATAATATAATAAATACTGTTTTTTATTATTGTAATTTAGAGCAATGCTTTGTAATAAAGCGACACATACCTTGTTTCTGTCTTGGACCACAAGGACTTTTCCATTAGATTCATCAACAACTGCACCTGGAAAACAAACAATCAATGACATTAATTTCACATATTTTGCAAACACTGGTCGAAATGTTGCACTGAAGTAGTTACTTTAAAAAGGAGACCAATCAGGAGAAGTCAATTATTAGTTATTATTAAGTAAGACCCTCTGGTGAAAACCGGCCTCGTCCAATTCATGTTTTTTTTTCGCAACTCTTTTGTGAAAGATCAATTAAGTCCACCGACAAACACTCAACTGACATTGCTCATAATTTAGACTCACACAGAATTTAAGTTTATTCCACTTCTCGAACTTAAAGGTGGGTTATGTAATTTATTTCAGATCCACTTTTTGTTATATTCCATGGAATGCTCTTAACATCCCGATAGCAATGAATACATTAAATGCTTTGACAATAAATACATAACAAAATGTCATCTGTGGAAGCCGTGGCGCTGTAAAAAGCACGACCAATCATCTGAGCCGGCCCGGCTAAAATAACTGGATGGCCTACCTGCCTGTCAGCCTTCCATCTGTGCACAAACTTATCTCGTGCCCTCATTGGTCATGTGCGCGTTCGTGTGTGTTGGAGGAGGGGCTCTGTAAGGAAGTCTCAAGGAAGGGGCAGATTTCTCGGCTGCGTACTTTCAAATTTGAGCTGGTTTCTCCAAAATTACATACCCCACCTTTAAGTGGCTTTTACAGATATTAAACTCCAATAAAAGTGCCACTTGGACTTCTATCTGGAGTGCAATAAAATATTAGATTAGTAAAGCTGTGGGCTGCAAACCAAAACAATGAGCTCAAAGAAGCTAAAATGCTACGTGAAGCTGACTGTGGATTTCGGGAATTCTTTTTGAGGGTTTTTCACAATAAGTGACCCCTTAACCCACGAGATTCATGTGATCCATTGGTGATATCAAATATTGACTATGGCTGCTTTAACGACAAAGTACATTTAGAATAAATAGGGACAAAAGTGTTCATTTTCTAAAATTACAAATCTAATAAGCTAACAAGAGCACAGTATGTTGATGTCTGGAAAAGGAGAGGACTAAGATTAAATAAAATACGTTCCTTTCCTTTTTCGAGTCTAAACAGAGTCCTTGTGACTCAGCTTGACTTGTGAATGATGTGGACATCCCACTTCACCAGATTTTCTCCTGTTTGAGCAGCTTTTTTCAGCAGGTAGTGACTCAGAGAGACAGCTATGTGCCGCTGATGATGACAGCTCTGAAGGAGGAGAGTAAACCGGACTATATGTTTTCTGGTTGGTCCGTCTGACTGACCGGGACCGGCCTCTTTAAATGAATGTCACAGATGTGTAAATAGGGATGGGTCGTCTTGAAATCCTGACTTGGACTTTCAAGTGGAAACTGATGTCATTCCCGATCCCTGTGCCAGCTGAGGGAGGCTATCATTATGTAGCATTCAGTCTAGGAAACAAAGTGCTCATAGGAAGCAGAGGAGAAAAAAGGGATTATGAATTATGAGACAGAAAGCCCAGAAGCCACCGTCACAGGAGCTGTGGGTTCTGTGGTAGATCAATTATAATACACGTGGCTTCTGAGTCAAAGTTTGATGTCTTCTCTTAATTGATATTTCACGTAGGCTTCTTCTACTGCTTTTCAGTTTTTACAGTAATTGTAGGGTGCTGTGTAGGTCAGGATGAGGTCAGATGTAGAAATGGGATCACACTTGAGCTGAGTTTCACTACAGAATACTGTCGAAACAAGTATTGTGACGTCTAAGACCTTGATTTTGGTTCCCTAGGCTTCCATGCAAAATTGAATTAGTTAAGGACTGATTGCTGTTTAGGTTGTGTCGGACACATCACTGTAGGGTGGGGAGCCGGCATGACAAAGAGTGAAGCTTTCCAAAATGCAATTATTAAAGTTATTGTGAGTCACCAGGTGATGAACCATTAAAAACACTGATGCTGACTCAAGTATACATCAGTCAAAATCAATCTTTAAAGAGGCTCTATTAAGCTGTCCCTGTAGTGAAGGTGGAGGCGTGTGGTGCAGTGGTTAGAGCCTTGGTATGGGGATCAGATGGTCACAGGTTCAAACCCCACTGCAGTTAGCATGTCGATATGTCCCTGGGCAAGACACTTCACCCCAAATTGCTCCTGGGATTGCCCACAGTATTGAGTATGTACGTCGCTTTGGATAAAAGCGTCTAACAAGTAACATGTAATGTAGTGTGGTATATAGGTTTATGTGCATGTAAATGGTTTGCAAAGGCTACAATCCCTGTGTTCCCCACAGAGGGATCTTCTCTCCGGAACATATTGACATCACTATGTAACACTCGTGCTTCTAATGGCTAACGCTCCAACATATTATACGTGTCTTAGAGGCGGGACATCTCTAAGTGGTCGACCAATCACAACAGAGCTGGCGAAGTGAAGACAGAATGCTTCATTTCTGACATTTTATTTTACTTATTACTTTTTTTCATACTCTGCTGTTGCCCTTACCATGTTACATCAGAGGCGGGACATCTCTATGTGGTTGACCAATCACAACAGAGCTGGCGAAGTGAAGACAGAATCCTTAATTTCTGACATTTTATTTGACTTATTACTTTTTTTCATACTCTGCTGTTGCCCTTACCATGTTACATCCCAAGGTTAACACGGCAGCACAAGTCAACTTGCATATGTAATCCTGCAATATGAACTTTTAATTATCAGTATGTAAAAATAGCTACTGTTTACATTTGAGTTCCTCTGAGGCTCACGTCCTTTGGCTTTACCTCACTGCACGTCATTGTTAAGCCTTTTCTAGCAGAGCCCCTTTAAAACCGACTCTAAAGTGATAATGGTGAGTACAATAATACGTCCAGTTATAGGAGCATTGGCCTCAATTTCAGCAATATAAACACCCACATTGGTCTTGTTGAAGTAATAGTACAGAATGTTAAAACTCTAGGGTCTCTGGAGGACATTAGACACCATAACGAAGACTTATTATTGGATGACTTCTTCCGTGTCAATGCAGTTATGTCTCAATTGATTTTTCATTATGTGTGGTCCTTTTGTCTATTTAACAACAACAAGCTGCAAGGAACCAGGCAAACAAGTATCAGTATTATCCAAACAGCTGCATATTTCAAATTCCTATCCTTAGTTTCATTATTGGCGACAACAAATGGAAATTCTGGACCTCTTCTGTACTGAAGGATGCTCTGGACATGTTCTGACATGCTTGAAGTTCATCCTCTCTTAACAGTTATAAAGACACTCTGCCCTCTGCTGGATGATCAGAAACTCACACACTTCAGGCCTGTAACTCCTCCCTCTGTTAATCCTCTCCCACATTCACGGCTGATGGATTTCTGTCTATGCAAGTGAAATGGGCCAAAGTTGAAAAATACATCACAGGCTGACACGAAAACAAACCTCTGATGTTTCCTGTTTAAAAACCCAATGCAGGTCAAAGTTTACCACAGATTTATTTGTCTCCTTTTAAACGATTTTGCAGTTGCAACATATTAGATAAGTGCGAAAACATAATAGATTTCTGACCAAAGGTTAGAGATTTATTTTTCTAAATGAGACTCAGGAAAAGGGAGGTAAATACTTTAGATACTGAAAAATGAAATGTCAATTGCCCAATATTTGTTCTTATTTTCAAGGTTTTTATCAATTGTGTTTGATTTTCCATCTTTTTATCCTAATTTTGCATTTCTTTCTCCGTTTTCATGTCCATTGAATGTCTATTTTCTCTTATTTTAAAGGACTTGCTCTTAACATCCCGATAGCAATGAATACATGAAATGCTTTGACAATAAATACATAAAGAAATGTAATCTGTGGAAGCCGTGGCGCTGTAAAAAGTACGACCAATCATCTGAGCCAGCCCGGCTAAAATAACTGGATGGCCTACCTGCCTGTCAGCCTTCCATCTCGTGCACAAACTTCTCGTGCCCTCATTGGTCATGTGCGCGTTTGTGTGTGTTGGAGGAGGGGCTCTATAAGGAAGGCTGCGTACTTTCAAATTCTAGCGCACTCGAGCTGGTTTCTCCATTCTTACCCTACCTTTAATATGGCTGTTAATTGAGAGATTTTTAAGCGCAGATTATTTTCACTATTGTTGGTTCATTTTCTGTTTATATAGTCACATATTAGGCTGTTTATTTTGTCAAAAAGGGTATTCTAAGTACTATACATCAAATATTGGATATAAATAACTACAAGCAGCTATGACTGTTTGCACAGACATTTGGAACTTGGAAGCACAAACAGCTCAATCCAGCTACATTGTTTTGACAAGAACATTTCACTCAAGGTGAATTCATCTTTTTGCTGCATCTTTCTGATAAAGACTGAGATTCAGCTAAAAGCTCAATGAAAAGAGTGTAAGTGGACCTTTGGGTAACATTCATATTTGTCAAACTACTATTTCTAAAGTCAGGAGGCTGAATTCCCTCCCCTCCCTCCCCCCTGCCCCCACTGGACTTTAACACACCACATAGACACTCAAATCCAGCAAGACACTTTTTCACGTTGCTATGGACAGTCAGTCTTGCACTATGTACATTTCCTAAAGATATTGAAGTGACTGTTATTTTGTATATATTGATTGTTGTGCTTTTATGTATGTCTTAATGCGTGCATATGTATACATGTGTCTGTTGATTGTGTATATATAGGATATACCTATTTTTATATATATATTTGTATTTTTGTATTCGGGATTGTGGGAAACGGTATGTCGATCTCTCTGCCTGTACACACAAACTGAAACATTGACAGTAAAGTTAACTTTGACTTGACATGGAAGAATGAGCTTTTAGGCTATACATCTCTACCTGCCACTCCGATCTGGTGAGTAGCAAACCCCGGCAGCCGGCTCTCTTCCTCCCCCAGCCAGAGGGAGAGCACCGTGTGGTCGTGTTTGGCGTGATGGAAGGAGAAGCCGTGCTCAGAGGCGGCGGCGGCACATCGGCTCAGGGAGATGGGAACTCGGAGCCACACTGCGACTTTCCCCTCCGATTTCCACTGGACCAGAGAATCTGCAGAGGTCAAAAGTTCACAAGGATGCACACACTTTAAAATGCATTATTAAAGACAGGAAGTATGATTGATGCCTAATCTTATTCTGGGGATAAATGGAAAATGGGAAGAGAGAAGATGACAAACAGCAGAGACACTTTAGTGGGAGTAGCCTGAAGGGAAAGGAAACATTTAACCAATTTAGCAAAAGACCCACTTGCACTTATTTCAAAAGTTAACAAATGTCATTTATAAATAAAACAAATAAAAATGCATTTAGTTGCTTCCAGTTGGTCTAATAAAAAGGTCTATCTTTTTCTATCTGATCCCAAATGTAGGCCTATTACATTTAGGTTTTGGACTGTTATTATTTAAGGCTGCACAATAATTCAAAATGTTATTTAGGACTAGTGCAGGAAGCACAATATTTGGTGAAGACAAACTATAATATCTGAATGAAGTGTTGATGTGCTGCAGAGAAGTCCTCGTCTACAAACTGTATTTCATGGGCTTAATCATTTTTTATTTTTTATTTAATGATAATGTGAATAATATTTCAAAAATATTATATCCCAATCACAATATCAGTTGATATAATTGTAATTATTATAGTCTAAATCAAGCAGCCCTACTAATAAGACACAACTAGCCATTCAAAGACTCCACCTTGGGAACTTGTAACATACATTATCAACATTTCTTGTATTTCTATTACTAAACAACTACTGTATTATTATGACAGTTTGTTTCGTATGTGGAAAGATCTAAAAATCGACATCTCTGACAACAACTAGTGTATAAATCAAACATTGACCTGCAGATGCACTGGAAATAAACAATTAGCTGAGATATAAGGGACATTTAAGCATAAAGCACAAGGGAAACTCTACTTAAAGCAATATTTCTGATCATGCAGCCTTCTTTATAAAGTCCCAGGAAGTAATATTATAAGGCTAGCTCACTATTCTAGTTGATCAATCAATCAATCAATCAATCAATCAATCAATCAATCAATCAATCAATGTTTATTTATATAGCCCAATATCACAAATGTTACATTTGTCTCAGTGGACTTCACAGTTTGTACAGAATATCAGTATGACAATAGGACACCCTCTGTATGATCAGTAGTTGGTGCAGATTTCCGAGGTGATGACATGTGGATGAGTCTCATTCATACTTTACCTTTCAGTAATCTACTGAATGATTTCTCACTGATGTCCTCCGGTAAACAGCTGTCAGACAGGTTCACTGTCACTCCACCGAACCGGTCCTCTCTCCCGGTCAGAGCCCCGGACCCTTGAGCACGAGCTGCAGTGCACGAGAACGCACGGAAAGCTGGGCGTGCACGACATGAAGCTCTGCAGCACACTCTTCCTCTCACCAGCGGGAAAAACCTTGAAGCAAAGGCACAAGCAGCCATTATACTACTCTAACATAAACAAGTGTTTAATGGGAGAGAGTAGTAGTTATTGTTTTAACCGGCATGTGTGTTCCGTAGAGTACAGTTACGTAAAGGTCCGCCCCGGAAATTGCATAATAACCGTAATGCTTGGATTAGCTGGCTTCAAATCACTGCTTTGGTAATGTAATGTAGGCCTACTGCCTTTACACTTCCGACAATTTAGCCAAGATGCAAGATGTGTGTCATTTACACTATAACCTACATGATACAAACAAACATATAAGATTAAAAAAAAAACTAGAATATAGGAACATTACAAATAAATAAATAACATAAAACAATCCTGTCCCAGAATAAAAATGCATGATGTGCTACATGATAAAACAAAAAATAAATGAGATATATAAACAGCAGGGTGGAGTATGGTGTATTAATACATACATATGCATAATAATAGATATAACACTATGATGAATATGAATGTAGTAAGATGGGTATACAATAAAGTGACAGTGTGAGGGCAGGGGGCAATGTCTGATGGCCAGTCATTTAAATCCAAATTGACCCTTTAACAATTATGAAAACATATAAGCCGAATGTAAGACTCCATCTTTATAATGTTTTATGTATCTTTAAACATATTGAATTATGTGTTTCTACTTCCTGGCAACATATAAACCTTTAAATTATGTGATTTTTCTACTGAATTTGGCATTACTTTTTTGGTTTCATTCTTTTTTTTTAACTCGGAAAAACGTTTTTTTAATATATGCCGAATGAAAGACTGCATCTCTATAATGTATTTTATAGATTTAAACAAATTGAATAATGTGTTTATACTTCTTGGCAACAAATACAACCTTAAATTATAAAAATGTTCTGTTAAACCAAGGTTTAAAGGGGAAACAAATCCCTAATTGTGTTATTAAACCTCGTACTTTCACGATACAATCCAATACATAAAAAGTAAAATGTTTAGTCAAAGGTGCATTTCGGGTGTTTACGGTAAAAGGAGGCGGGACTAAACTCTAACCAGGAAGTTTACAGCAGCGCTCGGTGTTTACACATGTCTGTGTGCTCACGTGGGGGATCTTTCCAATATTAAAATGTCTTCAAAGAAAAATAAAAGCAAATCTAAAAGACTGAGTGAGGGGGACAGCTCCCTGCTACTGAACGAGGGGTCCAATGACTCCTCCGGCCTGCAGACATCCCGCAGCGATGGAGGAAGCTGCAAAAGTTTGAACTGCAACTCATTCATTGTCAACGATTTCATTGATAAAGGTACGACTCTTGGGCTTAAACAAACACAAGAGTTCAATAGTGGTTTGATAAAGGTGCAACGTTAGCATGTGTGAATGCATCAGCAGGTTAACCAAACTGCAGATAAAGAACCGCTGTGGTCCCTGTTGCCCTCAGAGATGATGCTGATGCTGTTTAACTGTAAAGTGCTGTCAGTAGGAGACGACAGAGACACGTTTCTGAGTTTTATCTCAAGCAGATTGGTTTAAAATGAGACACTGACTGAGGCCACACTGGCTTTCAGGTTTGGGGATATTTGAGTGTTTGCATGCATATTTAGTGACATACAAGTCATGTTTCTCCCAAAGTCTTTCTAGGATGAAAAACCCTCTGTGTGTATTTCTTATCAGCAAAGGAATGCTGTCAAGGTTGTGTCATACATATAAGACTACAACAATCACACTTTCTTTCCAAAGTAAGACTCATTTCTGTACAAAAGGGGACTTTATTTAGTCTTCCCCTGCCTTTATTAGGTAAATCCCCTTTTGGCAAGTATGAAAAGGGGGGATGAATACAACCAGACAAATCGTTAAGATCTTAAAAGTTGTTAACATCTCTACTTAAGCTAATTGTCCTGCTGCTTACAGACAACAATGAATGAATCGCTAAACCCTTTACCCACAAAATAGGTTGTTTCTTGTCTGGAAGACCACAACTCAAATGCTAGTCAAACTTAGCATTTTCTTCACCATTGTCAGAGCAGTAACTAGTGCTTTAGTTTGTATGAATTACGTTTGAATGTCGAACTTTTATTTGTGTATTTACTTAATATATTTGTTATCTTTCCTCCCAGCTGATGACAAAACACCCAAGAGTTGCAGATCGATTTTAGTCCAACTCAGCCTGAACTCAATGAAGTCAGCCAGTGTTTGCATCGGGAGGCCGGTGCTGCTGACGAGTCCCACCGGACAACAAGAGGTCTCTCTCCTCTCATCAGTTTCTATATCAGATATTTGTGAACAATTGTATCTTTAAAATCCACTGACTAACATATTACATGGGTAATGCAGTTTTGCATGCCTTCAGTTCTTCTTATTTCTGACCTTTTGACTTGATGTGAATGATGTTGCTATTATTTGTCTCTCTTTTCTTCTGTCTTCCAGGTGTGTTTAGGATGGCCGGTTGCCACGTTTCCTAGTGGTAAAGTTGGTCTTCAGAAATGTGCTCAGAATAACCTGAGAGTGAAGTCAGGAGGAGAGGTGATGCTGCACCCCATCACAGGTCCTGTGCTTCAGGCTGTGGAGGTGGTTCTCTCCAACAGGTAAACTGCATCTGGCTCTCACTGACCTAAAATACACATTATATTAAAAACGTCATGTTCACACTATACTTAGTTATACAACATTATAGGTATTTTATTCTCAGTTGCTAGTTCATTAGACACACTTATCTAATGCAGTCTTTTACAACACTACTTCAAACAACTATAAAGATTATAATGTTCAGTTTCTGTTTAAACTTTTTTTTAAAAGGCTATGATTTAACTTTAAATTGGACGTTTAAAATATTTTTCCTGACAAATCACATATCCACAAATCATAATGCTGCACTATTTATTGTATTTATGAAAGTGTTATTTAAGCCCATTTCAAATCACAATAGAAATGGCTGAATACGTTCTATGTTAATAAATCATTGTAATAATGTATAAGAGTATCAACCATAATTCCATACCTCTGAAAATGCCTTTAGTTTGTATCACACAGCTTTATGTTGACACTAGGGTGTCTGCGGGGTCTTAAAAAGTATTAAAAGTTGATAAATCAATTTAGCGAAAATTAAGGCTATTAAAAAGTATTAAAGGGCATTTTCCAATGTATTACATTTTGCAGCTTGTTTTCAATAAGTATATAAATTGTCCAAAGCGGTTGTATTCTACAGTCTGCCTGAATGTAATCATTGCGTAGGTGTGTAGTGTGATTCTGTGTAGTTTATTTATGGCATCCCGTTGGATTTGACGTCATCTGAACAGGACATCGCACGCTCACTGCTTGAGAGCGCGTGAAGGTCCGTTTACGCCGGTTGTTAAACAACATCGTTATGGGGAAATGCAAGTTTGCGTCCAAATGGTTGGAAGATAAGGAGGAAGGACAATCAATACTGTATATAGTCAATGTGAGGTAAAGTGTGTCGCCAATGTAACCGGTTAAAACTCCAAGTGGCGATGAGGTCTTAAAATGTATGGAAAGGGTCTTAAAAAAGGTCTTAAAAGGTATTAAATTCGACTTCAGGATTCCTGCATATACCCTGGTTGTGCATCTCAGGTAAATGCTGCCATCTGCTGGGGAAATCTCATAACTGCAGTGCAAAAGCTATCAAATAATAATAATAATTTGTATTGTCCGGATTGCATTTAACCACGAAATACATATATTTGTAACACTCTTCATCCACACAAATCAGTTTTTATTTAACATGATAGGACATATTTATTTTTATTGTTTATAATCTGTAATTTTTAAAGGTTCAAATCATTACAAAATGTGTTTACTGGTTAATTCTGACATGCCTACTTTCTTTCAGGTCAAAAGACGAGACACTAGAGACAGAGGAGTTCAAGAGCTTCTTACTGAGGTCTCTGGGTAAGTCTCTTTTTCACAATATTACGTGATTTGTGATATGTCGTAAATCATTGGTGACCTACAATTTGATTCTGAATTTTGACGTTAGGCTATGAAACCTGTACATTTTCCCAATTTGGCGAAAAATGCTTTTGAATTGCTTTCTATGTTCAGTTTTTTTGGGTGAAATAACTCTACTGGTTTGTCCGTCTTGTCCCAGTTGGGAACATCCTCCTGCCAGGAAATGTCGTCCCCTTGACCTACTTCGGCCGGTCATGCAATCTCCGGGTGGAGACCATAAGAGGGGAGGATGGAGTCTGCCTCCACAGACCTTCTCCCCCCTCAGGACCCCCCCCTGACCCAGAGGAGTCCTCCGTGATGGACTCAGTGCTGGACTCCACCTCAGCCGACCTCTCCCTGCAGCTCAGCCTGCTCACTGTGGACGATAACGGCTCTGACGGGGCCCCGAGCTCAAATGGAGAGTCGGGTCCTGCAGCCAGCACCCCACGCCGACCTGCCCACCTCCCCCACCCCCACCTCTCCTCCCTCTCCTCCCCCCCTGCTCCCTGCACCCCGTCCTCCCATGATTCTCCTGCAGAGGGGTCTTACAGTCTGGAGAGCTCACAGCAGGCTGATAGTGTCCCCACAGCTCCCCCTGGTGGAGCTCAGAGTTCTGACACCTTCTACTGCCTCTCCTGCTCCACTAAAGTCAGCTTCAGAGACAGAGCAGGGCAGGAGGACCCAGATGCTGAAGCTCAAAGGTCAAAGGTCAAATACTGCATGATTGGTGGGCTCAGCAGCCAGCTGGACGTCATCAGAGAGACCATCGAGCTTCCTCTGAAACATCCAGAGTTATTCTCCAAATATGGTACGTGTTTCAGAATCAGCATCAGGTTTAAAGTATGTTTATAGTACACATACAAGGAGTTTGCTTCGGTGTATAATGATGACATTTTCAAACTTATAATGGTGCATACATAATCACAATAAAAGGAATAATTTGTAAAAAAAAAAAAAGGAGAAAGTATATATTAATTTAAAAAAAGGAAATGTACAAACAAGTAAGTAGAATTCAATTTTAAACTGGGTCTTACTATAACTTAAAACAAGATTTAATTGCAAGCTGTTATTCTCTGCAGGTATCCCACCTCCCCGAGGAGTCTTACTATACGGTCCCCCAGGCACCGGGAAGACTATGATTGCACGAGCCATAGCCAATGAGATTGGAGCTCACATGACGGTCATCAACGGCCCAGAAATTGTTAGCAAGTACGGTCAAATTGCTCAAGTATCACTTCTCTGAATTAATTTGAATTGTAATGCAAACCACTGTGCACATGATCCAAAGTGATGGAATTGTATCATCATCCAGATTCAATAATGATGTTGTTTCATGTCTTTGCAGATTTTATGGTGAAACGGAGGCAAAGCTAAGGCAGATATTCACTGAGGCGTCTCAGAGGTAAAGTTTGAAATGGCTAATCCCATCATTGCCTCTATCATAGTGTGTTTTCCTTATATGCAACCTAATGCTTTCTTTTTGTTCACCGCTGTCTTTAAACGTGTTTCTTTTGTATTGTATTTGTAAGAAATCAACCACTTGTAACACCACTGATAGAGTAATCATTTCTCTTGTGCAATAAAGTAGCAAATGTAGCTACAATACTTACCGTATATTAACTGCAGTACACCAATAATAAACAATAGCTAAAGATGAATATGCTCAAACCAAATATTAAACACATTCAAAGAGCACGACCAATGACATTTGATTTATGATTTAAAGCTCTGGACCTTGAATAAAGTCTTAGTCTGTCATGATCATTACATGTTACATGACATGTCACTTGTTAGACGCTTTTATCCAAAGCGACTTACATACTCAATACTGTGGGCAATCCCCACAGGAGCAATTTGGGGTGACGTGTCTCAGGGACACAACGACATGCTGACTGCAGTGGGGTTTGAACCTGTGCTCCCCTGATCCCAACACCAACGCACAACCCACTGCACCACACGCCTCAGCTTGTGATTTTGCATTTTACAGTCTTGTTGGCGGCTTTTCTCACATTTTCATTTGATTTCCAGACAACCTGCGATAATCTTCATCGATGAGCTGGACGCTCTGTGTCCCAAGAGAGACGGAGCGCAGAACGAGGTGGAGAAGCGAGTCGTTGCTTCTCTGCTGACTCTGATGGACGGGATTGGTTCAGTGAGTTTCCTTTTTGACCCTCCTGCAATTGGCCACTTTTTTTCATGAGCCCTGCACTCCCGTGATATCTTAAAAAAAAATGATTATCCATATTTGAGTTACAAAATGACATGTTCAGTACATTCAGATTATGAAACAAGCTCTCTGCTCCTAAAGTACAATGCAACGTTGTTTTAAAGTGTTCTCATGCCTTTCTTTGTATATTTCTTTTCATTACTCCATTTAAACCTGCACCTCCCATCATCTGGTATGAATGCACTGTAGTGTAGGGAGGCCTGAGTCTAAGATAAGATAACGTTTTGTCACAAAAAGGTCAGAATCAAACATTTTTGTTTACTATTTTTTTTTTAAAAGACAGAGAGGACTTGGAAATAATAACTCTGGAACATTGAAGCCACTGATTTTTGACCTTTTTTCTTTGAAATGTCCAGAATTATATATTGATTGCCTAAAAGGTAACTTATCTGAGTCAACTAAGTTTCCACTTATACGTTATACAGTAAGTAGTGATGGCCACTTCCTTCTATGTGTTTCTTTTTGTATAATATACCAGTGTTATAGCACGAAATATACATTTTTCTTTCTCTGGAGATCTGCTTTACATTGACCAAAGCTTGTTCTGAACACACATGACTGAAGAACCCAGCGCTCCTAGCAGACTGCTCTGTCAGGAAATGCTCTCAGTGGAAACGCAGACCGTCATGCAGAAGCCATCTCTGCCTGCTGGCCGGCCTTCACACACTGTGGGTTGATTCTCTGGGGTGTTGTTAGTCCTCCAAGCGCTCTGTCAGTGCCTGATGATGAGAAAAAAGATGGTTCCCCCCCCCCCACACACACGCACACACACACACACACACACACACACACACGCCCAACAGGAGCCTGGGAAATAAATCACCTCAGGTTGCCATGACCTGCCAATTTGGCATAACTTTATCGGCAAAGTACATCCCCATGACCGCAGTGCATGAAGGATCGGTGATCACACACACACACACACACACACACACACACACACACACACACACACACACACACACACACACACACACAGAGATGATCCAAGGTCACCAGCACTGATTGGTTTTGGGAATGTGGATAACGCACTTCCTGCTCCTCTGCATTCTTTCTCGCACTGTAATTTATTTTTGTTTCAATTCTCCCCGCGGTGTCGAAAAGGTGGAACAAATATTCCTCATGTTGCATGCAGACCACCCCGAGAAACACAGGTTTAACATCGGGCAGAGGGCAGATATTCTCTGAGGCTGTGCTTATGGAAATCGACTGGATAAAGCCACACATGCTTGGTCATCAAGTTAGACCCCAAGGCTGTTTCTCTTAGCTCCTAGACAGTTGATATCGATGACTCCAAGCAACAATTTGCATGTGATTTCCTGGTGTATCTCTCAGCCAGCACAGCAGATTTGGCAGTGTGTGTGTGAAATATACCAGACCGCATCCATCATCTGTTTCATAACACTTTTGATGGTGTTTAAACAAGTCTGAGCGCTACCAAAGCTTTTTGAGTGGACGAGCACACCTGAACTTCAATGGTAATACATACTGTGTAGTACTGTGTATGTATGAATGAATGTACCACAGTATCAATATTTAATTTCACGGTTATAGTAAATACAAGTTTACCGGGAGATTCCTAGTGTAACCCCGACCAAGGTCATACTGTAGGCTTCCTGTATGATTTTGTTAAATGTCTTGGTAAACTAACCTTGATGCCTCAAATAGTGATGCACTGTTTTTTTTACTTTGTCTTAAGGAATGCACAGCCCAACGTCACATTTTCTAGGACAAAACTGATTTGTGATATTTTTCCTATCCTTGCAGGAGGGTCACTCAGGTCAGCTGATAGTTCTGGGGGCCACAAACCGGCCCCATGCCATCGACCCCGCCCTGCGCCGCCCAGGACGCTTCGACAAGGAGCTGGAGGTGCGTAAAAAACCACAGCCTGTGGGGGAATCAAAAGACTGTCCTGTATTGCACATGTAGCTTAATCTTCAGTTATAACCCACAACTAGCCACGTGTGCTCATTTAAAGGTGCCCTATTATACTGTTTTTCATCAATATATTATAGGTCTCAGATATATACAGAACATGTCTCTGATTGGCTCGAAACACCAAACAGATCATCGCAGCATTACCCATAATCCTCTCTGTTTCAGCCCTGTTTCAAAAGTGCTGATTCTCTGTCTGTTACTTTAGATGAAAATAAGGAGCCCCTCCCCACGCCCCTCTGAGAGAGATTTGGTTAAAAAGAACACAATGGTGCTCTAGGAGGAGATTCAGGTGATAAGGTGGGGGGGGGGTTATCTTGGTTGGTGATTGGCTAATGGTTACACAAGCCAAAACATCGTTATGACATCATAAAGTGGCCAAAATCTGATCAGCTAATTTTCAGACAGGTTTTTATATAAATGGATCAGGACAAAAAGAGAGAGAATCTTTTTTCCTGAAGCTTTCAGAAACTCTTTACACAGAGGGGACACATGTTGATGTAGAAGAGACAGGAAGAAGTGGATTTTGCATAATAGGTGACCTTTAACACCCTACTGTTTGTTTATAGTGAATTAATCTGGTGAAAATAAATAGTAATAGCAACATTTTCGGATGTTTGCTTTTTCACAATATGAGATGAACAATCAGACCTACTGAAAATATCTCTGTAAAGCTCTGAGAAGTACTGTACTCCATTCATTAATGGTTTGGGGTTCCTCAGGGTTCATATTGAGTACCACTACAATTTCAGTTTAAATACAAATGTCTGCAATACAATTTCTTGTTCTATTCGTTTCACAATGGCAGGTGGGAGTTCCTACTGCTGCCGAGCGTGCAGATATTCTGCAGAAGCAGCTGAGCTTCGTGCCGTGCAACGCCACCAGCGAGGAGGTGACGCAGCTGGCCGACGCTGCCCACGGATACGTAGGAGCGGACCTCGCAGCTGTTTGCAAAGAAGCAGGCAAGTAAACACTCTCCTACTGTCATACAGGAAGTCAAAATGCTGAGGAAAAAACATGTTCCCCTGTCCTGGCACCTTTATGGCCGTCTGAATGTGGTCCGCCGCCTTGTGTCCTCTCTCTTCATGATGTACAACATGTCCTGCAAAGGCAAACATTTCTCTTCCCAGAAATGCAGCTATAGATCCTGAGAAAGTCCAAAAATCCATATCATAAAAACACCGCACCAACCAAGAACATCCACAGCTACTTTGACCAGTTCTGTTATTTTTTTATTGATTTTCCTCTTCCCGAAACCAACATCATTTAGGAAACCAAAACAAAGTTGCACATGCCAGCTGGCCCGAAGAGGCTCATCATCTTTTAGTAGTTCGGTTTGACTCGTGGACGCCAACCAACGAGCAAACAGCGTACCAACAACAGTTTGTTATTGAGCTTTAGGTACATCTGACTCAACCTCTGCTTTTAACCCAAACCACAGTCCCTGGTGACTTATCCCTTCCTAAATTAGTTTTTAACAGTTTTGTAGATGTTTTCTCGGAGAGTCTGACATGCCTGCTACACAGAAGGTCAGCCATTCTTTGATATTTGCCATAAAGGAAGTTGTGTGTTTCTGTGGTGTTCAGATCCCAGTGAGAGAAACCACTGAAACCACCACTTGTTGTGAAATTCCTTTGCCCCCCTCACCCCTGATGCCACAAACCGATCCACCTCACATCCTGAGCTTATATAACGTATGTGTGTATCTGAATGTGCTTGATTGTGGGTGTGTGTGGGATTGAACGAGCACACGCACATTTGTTTTTCTGTGTGTGTGACCCCCGTGCGCCTCCTGGGTGGTCTCAGGCCTGCGGTACGTGGCATATTGCATTTCCAGCTGAGGAGGCTGCTGTGCGGAAGCGCTCCGGCGGAGAGCGTGATTTACCGTCCGCAAAGGGCCAGACGTGACTGGCAGTGTTTTCGGAGAAACCTCCTCGCGCCCCGGAGGGAGACAACAGCCTCCCCCAAACCCTGATTCACTTCCCTCAAAAGCCTCCAGACCCAAATCACTAAACAAACACAGGCCCTCGCAAGCACGCCGCAGGAGAACTAACAGAATCAGATCGCATTTAATGCTTTGTTTCTTTCTGTCGGCTCGTTCGATGTGGACGTAAAGCACAGATGAAATACAAACTGAGGAGAGAAATCTGAAATGGAATACAAACACGGCTTCAGAGTTGGCATCCACTTGAAATGCAGCTTGCTTGTAGTCTGGTTTTATTCACACTGTAAATGTCTTTCTAGGATATTAGCATTAGCACTCTAACACCTAATTGTTAACCTAGCCATTTAGCTTACTATCTTAGCTATACTTACCACAGCCTTTAGAAACATTTACACAAAATGAATCTTAGATGAACAATATATCAGAACACACGTTTTGAAGTGGTTTAAAAGAAAGTGTATACTCTATGTATGATATATGTTACGCTACGTGTCTCTGCTAAAAACAAGCTTGACTGTTAGCTTGAGATTAGTCAAAGGAACATGTAGGTAGTAAAGCTTTCAGTGTTCATACTACGAACTCCTATTCATTAAATAACATATGACATACAGCAATGCTCAGTTTAACAATACTGTGATTATCAGTAACTAAACTGAACTTACTAAATTATGCATTTTCCACAGAAATACGTCTTGCAACTCGAAGATAAGACGCTAATCATTCACATCCTGTTCCCTTGTCTTAAAGTTACAATTATTTTGGGTAGGTAGGCTTTGGTTAATGCAAGCTTAAGATATGTCACCTTTTGCTTTACTTGTATCATGCCAAGCTTCATTAGACTTCATTTATACCTTAACATTAACCCCTTTCTTCGACCGGTTGCATTGTGCTTCAGAAACTATAAACGAGCATTACATTTGGGAAGACCTATCGTGCTGGAGTATGATGCATTTTTATTTGCATCTGAGCTCATTTTCTGCAATAATCCACAACACAATGGAAACATATTTGTGGCTTTTTGGCGAGGGAAGCAGGATGTTGCTGCTCCAAAAAAAGACTTCATCTCTCCAAGATGCACCTTTGTATCTGCTTTGTTTGAATGGATGACAAAGCAAAGGTCAGGTGTCAGCACTTCAGACGGTACACTTTGCCGCCATGGCGTTAGTGTTTACTCTGATTGGTGGACAGGAAATTGAAATAGAATTAATAATATTCAAATTGACTTAAGTGTAAGGATCCACCTGCACCAAATCCTTATACTACCGCACATTGTATGGCCTCACATAAACAGATGCCTACAGCCACACACATACACACACACACACACCGCCACATACCGCCACACAGACACACACAGACACACACTCACACACACACACACACACACACACATACACATACACATACACACACACTGCCACACACACACACACACACACACACACACACACACACACACAGACACACACTCTCACACACACACACACATACACACACACACTGCCACACACACACCGCCACACACACACACACCGCCACCGCCACACACACACATACACACACACACACACCACCACACACCGCCACACACACACACACAGACACACACACACACACACACACACACACACACACACTGCCACACATACCGCCACACACACACAGACACACACTCTCACACACACACACACATACACATACACACACACTGCCACACACACACTGCCACACACACACCGCCACACACACACACACACCGCCACACCGACACCGACACACACACACACACACACACACACACACACACACCGACACACACACCGACACATACACACACATACACACCAATACACACACACACCGACACCGACACACACACACCGACACACACACATACACACACACATACACACCAATACACACCAATACACGCACGCACGCCACACACACACACACACACACACACACACACACACACACACACACACACACACACACACACAGAAGTTGATATCTGTTTTTTCCTTCTCTGCCTGCATTGAGAGGAAGCTGAAGAGGCACACTGACACGTCGAGTAGGAACTGCAGTTGTTTCCTTCTGCTGCTCAGGTAACAATGAGCGGCTGGGGGAACGTACGCTCCGACGCACCACTTCCTGAAAAAGAAAAATAGGGGGGGGGGGGGGAGATAAATGCGACGGCTGCAACACACTAGGGTCACGCACATAGATACAAACCCTGCACAGCTGCAGAGAAGCATGCGCACAAAAAGACTTCTGATGCACGCACACACGAGAAGAATGTAGGGTTTCACATCCTGCATTCAGTACAATACCAACCTGCTTATAGATCTGAGAGGATATAGAGAATGGTTTCATCTCTGGAGGAAAGCAGTGGCTTTTCTTTGCGTTTTTTTCTTCCTATGTGCATGGAAAGTTTGATGTCATTCAGGAAGTTTTGTTTGTCCACTCTTGAGTTGTAAGGAGCCTCCAGAAACAACTTCTTGCCGACAGATGTGTTGCATAATCAGAACTTAATTACAGTTGATCACGTATCGGCCAGTTTAGAACGTAATGTAATGCACACTCCTTCAAGATCTGTTAAAGTCTATTAAAGTCTGTTTCATTCAGGGCTCCTCACATCCCCTGTAAGCCTCTGCTGAGCTTTACATCATGTGCACTGAGCGAGGGGATCCAGGTTGAACGCTGCGATCCCTCAGGTAGGATTTTAAACCTGGAGAGGAAAACACAGGAATGTGGCTTAAGAATGTGACATCCTGTTTACGTTTACTTTTCTGCAAAATACATCTGTATAGATCACTTTGCTGTCAAAACGAATAAACCACAGTTTTCAATTATCTAAAAAAAAAATAGAAGCTACTTTAGTTTAGTTTCACAGCTAGCTGTCCATACATTGAATTGAATGTTAGGTTTTGTTCCCTAAAAGACAAAAAGACGTGTGTCAAAGTACTTAAAATAACTGTTACATAACATGTCACTTGTCAGACGCTTTCATCCAAAGCGACTTACATACTCAATACTGTGGACAATCCCCACAGGAGCAATTTGGGCTGAAGTGTCTCAGGGACACAAGGACATGCTGACTGCAGTGGGGTTTGAACCTGTGCTCCCCTGATCCAAACACCAACGCACTATTCCACTGCGCCACAGCCTGTTGATAGAAATTCAATCAGAGTGGTTTTGCCTAAAGAGGTTAAGCTAGTCTTTTACACACAAGTTAGGTAATGTCTGAAAAAGTAAGCCTACTGTTTTGTTTAGGTCAATATGTTCCTACATTTCTTATGCCTTCTTATTCCCTCTCATCACCCACCAAAGAACTGTCGCAGACGTTCTCGTATTGTTTACTTTTTCAGTCCCGTGGAGTACATTTTTCCAAAGTATTTGACAAGATTTTCCAATGAAGTAAAAAATACTTTTGTGTAGCAGAACTTTTTGTTACTTTCTTAATCTTTTTCTGAATGATTTTGAAACCACTGCGCTAAATGCCCTCTGAATATATCAATCAATCAATCAATGTTTATTTATATAGCCCAATATCACACATGTTACATTTGTCTCAGTGGACTTCACAGTTTGTACAGAATATCAGTATGACAATACGATGTCCTTAGACCCTCACATCGTACAAGGAAACACTTCCATAGAAACCCCACAGTTTAAAGGGGAACATGGGAGAAACCTCAGGGAGAGCAACAGAGGAGGGATCCCTCTCCCAGGACGGACAGACGTGCAATAGATGCCGTGTGTAAATCAAAAAGATAATACATTTTACAGCATAGGTAGACCAAATGTTTGGAAATGCATGTGTCTATAATAAGAAGATGAATCAAGGAGGATGTCAACAATCCTGTGGGAGCCATCAGGGAAGTAGTATGATGAGAGTCAGGCAGGACCGCAGAGACAGGTTCAGCCACGACTGATATAACGTCTGATTGGTTTGATAATGTTTGGTGAATACATAGTTGCCGTATTAAACGTGTTGGCAGCGTAGTTTTTCAT